CAACTTATGACCAACATGCATCGGTAGAAAGCTGGCTATATCCATTTCATCATAACATATGCTATTTTAGTACGGGGTTATGTCCCCTCTATGAAAAAAGTTTTTACTCTTCAGAGTAAATATACTTCAATGTCTTATTTATGTCAGAAAATATATACATAACTTTGAAATCAGAAGTGAGATTCACTCTTATAATACCTGAAAGAGCACGTGCTTATGTAATACATTTCTAAGACTTAGTAAAACGCGGGTCGGTACTAATTATTGGGATATCAAATTTTTTAACATAATACTTTACCAAATTCAAATCCTTAATGAAAATAATTTTAAATCAAGGATAAAAAAAATACTTAATAAAAAATGCTTTTTACAGTTTTGAAGATTTTATTGACAGTAACTTCGGCTACCGCATCACCTATTACTGTGTTACTGCAACTTAGAATATAACCTAACCTAACACCTAATGATCAACTTATGTCGACATAGACAGACGAAGATTTGATGAGGATTCTACCAACTGATTTAAAGGAAGCGGTCAAATATAGAGCTATTGTTGGAAATACAGTAAGTAGTAGTTGTGTCCATTGCATGTTTATATTTAACTTAAAAAGCATCATATGCCATTGTAACCCTTGAAAATATTTTATTATTCATACACTCATTAATCAGTAATTTTATTTTAAACAAACGCGTTTTCTCCGTGTTGGTATTAATATTTTTTAATGATTATCTGATTTAAAGACTACTTCTGAGGCAGAGGACAGATTGGAGTATAATACTAGTGAAATTGTATAAAATAAGCAGATATGTCTGGGCGATGTGGCAGTTAATTATATTTTAGGTTTGCGAATATTTTCATTAACAATTTGAAACGAAATTGTTTCGGCCAATTAAAGAAAAGAAAACTAAATGGAGGTTTTAAATAACGAGTTTTATAAGTTTGAAAATATTGAAACGGGGATAATATTGCTTAAATTTTGAAAGCTTTTCAAATTGTATAAGCGTTAGATGAAAGCCCACTTTGTTTGTAAAGTGTTGCCCGCCGTTTTCACTTATTTCAATTTATTGAGAAATAACGGGGAAACAGAAACGAATCTTGAATTGAAATATATAAACAAAAGTGACATTCAAATGAATTAAATTCGCATATTGCGAGTGGAACAGGAGCGGCTTTCAGACTATTTACCAATGAAAAGGCCTTTTTCACTAGAGCAACTATTAACTTCCAGTTAGCTATATCGTTTTTAACGCCTTTATAAGCTATTTACTTTTTCTTTACATCCTATAATTGAAGTACGCTGAAAAAATGCAATTTTAAAACAGCAGCTTCTAAAAATAATAAAATAAAAATAAATTTCATACAATTTTTATATAAACATAATCTTTTGCAATCTACAATTAAGCTGATTTCACACGATACGACAGTTCATCGAAATAACTAGAAAAACTACACAAGCTGTTTTCTAAGTTTGTGTTACAACTTCAAGAGATTTTTATCAATTGTCCAATGGCAGGAATAATAATTATGGAGTAATTTTCAATTTTTTCAATTGAACATCTTAAAAAACAACTACTAGTTACTAATAAAAGTCATTTCTTAAATTGTAATTTTAACATCCTGTATTCTGAAAAAACCACCATTTAATTAAGAAACAACCTAATAGTCTTCACTCAAATAATATGTGGTTAACAGTTTGACTCTTTTTTGTAACACTCTGTATAAACAAAAATAAATTCTTACAACTGGATAACCCAAACTAAGGTTTAATAAACATCTGTTTTATTATATAATTTTTAATTGATTACACAGCCCCACAAAAAAAAATTCTGAGCATCGGACTAGACCAATATATTTTGACCTTGAAATGACCTTTATCCTGACCTCACAAGGTCAAACGGATCTCGGATTCGGACTCAGCGACCCCAAAAACATATAATAACCATGGTTGCCCCCATTATAGAGGATTTTTCTCGGTTTGACCTTGAAACGACCTTTAATCTGACCTGATAAGGTCAAACGGACCTCAGATTCGGACTCTGTGACTTCGAAAACATAGGAATATAGTGGTCTAGTCCGATGCACAGCATTTTTTTTGTGGGACTGTGTTATTAATGCTTGTCTTTCATAATTTACATACATATAAGTTGCATTCACACGACGCGACACCTTGTCGTTTTACTATACATCTAAAGAACCGTAGGTACATGCTTAGTGTGGAATTTCTCATATGGTTATTTACTTTAGGTAAGTAGTAGGCACAATATAAAAGTTTATGTGCAAAATCCCAAGTCAATATTTTAAAAACAACAGAGTTATTACCAAATATATTTTGAAAATTGTAATCTTGACATCCTTCATTTTGAAAGGCAGAGCCTAAATAAAAAACTGCAGTGAAAATATCATTGTTTTCACCCGAAAAGTGTGTAGTTAACTACACTCTACTTTTTTGTATCATCCTATTACAAAATAAGAGTGAATTGCGAAATCTGGATAAATTAAGTGGAATAAACATCTGTTTCATTATAAGGTTTATGTATTATTAGTGCCTTCTTTCGTAATTTACATGTAAGCGGCCTTTACACGACGCGACAATTTGTCGTTATACGCTGTGGTTAAAAAAATTGTAAGTACATGTCTTGTCATAAGTAGTCGACACAAGGTGAAAATCAATTGAGTATCTTAAAAAACAATGGAGATATTAACTGCAACTTTGACACCCTGTATCTTGAAAAAGAACCGCCTAAATAAAGAATAGCAAAAGGGAAGCCCATTATTTTCACTAAAGAATCCGTGGTTAAGTTACTTGGTCTACTTCTTGTAACACCCCGTATAAAATACAAGCGATTTCCTAAAACTGAATAAACCAAACGAGGGTTTCAATAAAAATTCGTTTCGTCATATGATTTATGCATTATTGTCTCGCCTCCTAATTTACCATTAAGCGGCTATCACACGACGCGACAGTTTGTCGCTATACGCTGTAACTAAAGGATCGTAGGTGCATGCTTAGGTATGAACTCGTTCCTATGGTTATTTACTCTACAATTGTAATTTTGAAAACCGGGTCTAAAAAGGCAGCACCCAAATAAAAAACGCTCTAAGAAAATTTTTATAATTTTCGCCCTAGTAATTTTTTAACGCCCTGTATAAAATAAAAGTGACTTCCTAAAACGTGATAAAACAAGTGAGGATTTTCAATAAAAATTTTTTTTTATTATAGGATTATTAAGTAATGCCCAGTTTACATTTAAGCTGCTTTCACACGACGCGACAATTTGTCGCTATGCGATACGATATGCTTAGGTATGCATTTTTTCACATGGTTATAAACAATTTAGGAATAATGATACAAATTTTAGAATAAATATTTGTTATTACCTGTTTGAACAGATAACAGACGTAATGATTTGGTTGGACTAGCTTGTAAGCGGTTTTCAACATCTTCCAAGACTTCCTCTGTAAGAATAGACTTTCTGCCTGGAGATTTTCCTCTACAAACACTTCCAGTGTTATGGAAGCGTTCCACTAATCTCTTCACGTGTCTCGAAAAAATTTCATAATGATCAATTTCATCATTTGGAAATTGTTCTTGAAATTGTAAATGACACGAATTCATCGAATATTTCCAACCATTATCATTGTTTTGTCCAGTACGAAAATAGGCCTCCAGAAGAAATGTATCATGTTCTAATGAAAATGCCATGTTCTTAACCTAAATTAAAAAACCGATTAGGTTAGAGAACAACATACGCAATAAATTAATTACTCACGTATAATATCCACCTACTCTAATTGTAGTATTGAAAAATACTGTTTTATAATATCGCAAAATACATATACTAGGTAACAACAAAATCTACAAAATAATATTCAAGCCAAAAAATCCGTCGTGCGCCAATGAACAGAACGTCAAATTGTGAGATCGCCACAGAACACCATGAAATCGCACGGAAAAAAAAGTAATTTTAGCAAACGGAAATCAGTTTTGATAGCAATTGAGACAGGGTACGTTCAGAATCTGGTCAATCATTCTCGATCTCTCTGTACTTCACCGGTGTCAAAACTCCGCGGTGCGGGGGCACGTCGTTCAGGATATCTCGCACGGTACACTTGACAAGCTCTATGGGCATTTTCGTTTGCTTCGCCATAAATTATGGGCATATCATAATGTTCGCGGCTGCTAAATAAATGCACCATTTTCAAAAGAAAACTTGGAAATACGGCTATTAAATTACTTTCGAAAAACAGCACAGCAATCACTACAACAATGTATTACAAACTGACTTTCGAATACAGTCCGGCTTCATAAGAAACCTACAAACTCGTAAAAAGTGCTACCGAATTTTTTGTAAGTACTCGCTGCGATAAAATACATGTATTTCAGCAGTTCCAAAACAGTTTTAAACACATTTTTAATTAGCCTTTTCTCTATGACCTTAAACTTCCGATACAAGTTTGTGACATCAGTTAAATCCGTTGTTGCCCCTTTTTCACCCCTTTAAATTTGTGACATAAGTTCATTAACACCCTGTATATCTTGTGGAAAAATCTCGAAAATTCACTATTTAATCCGAAGTATTGGCGTTCTTGATTTATTTTGCGCCGCGATATTTCGTTGCATTGATTGCGGTGGGACTTGTTGAATTTAAAAAAGTTGTAAAACTGGAAAATACATACGCTGCAGAGAAAAATGGACTGGGAGCAAGTAATAGGAGCAATTGCTGCAGTCGCGTTCGCAATTGGTTTCACGTGCTTACCAGAATAGCAGAATGTTCATTTGGTGCATTTCTTACCTGTGTTTTACAATTCTAATTACATATCTTACATGTCCTGGGCCCTCCCATGTGCCGTCTTTTGATTTTCCTATTGGTTTATGGTATCTCATTGTGGTTTGCCATTGGTTCCGGCAAGGGTTTAGGTTAAATGAGCGCATGACTGAAGGTACAACTTGAAAACGTTCGTGGAACTGTCAGTGTTACTCCGACAGTCGCGAGTAAAGTTAGTGACGATCTATCGCTCGAAGTCGACCCCACGAGGTTTGTTTTAGTTCAAGTATACGCGCGCGAAGTCGGAGTTGGGAAATGTGCCACGCCAGAATGCACTGTTTACTCGAGGGCCTCATCGTCTTCGAACTGTTGTGCTTGTCCTTAGGTGCATCCTCCACCGGGGCTACTTCCAACGGTGAGTTTTAAAGCACTAGGACCTGCAGGTCTACTACAAATTTAGCTACTTGGCGTAGGTGACCAATCAAACGAAGCTTAAACCATCGGAAACATATTTTTTTAAATTAAAATCGCGACATCCCTATTCTACGGTGAAATATCATTACCGAGACAAATTCACCACACTTCTGAATATCTTTTAGAGATCTTTAGTGCTTGTGGTTACTTGAAATAATCACATACGGTATTAGGAAAATAAGTTGTAGAATTTGTGTTTTAAAAATATGTTTCTAACTCGTGTTCACTGTTCAATGTGAAATTAAAAAAAATTGAATTGGAGAAAAATTTGAGATTAAGAATACATTTACTTAAATTTGAATAAAATCTGTATAAGGTATATTAGAATATAAAACTGTCTCAATTTCTTTCAATTTTATGTCGAATCAAATGCCTCTTTCTCATTTAATAAATATTGGCGAAGTAAATTTATATGAAAATCGTATGGAGTTTTTAATTTTTTATGAGAAAATGATTAATCTGATACTAATAACTCCGGAAAGGCGCCTATAAATATAAATTAGTTGTCCCACATATAATATTAATATAAAACAAAGTGTCGCACCATCTGGGTCCGACCATCTGTTAGATATTACTTGTATTAGCACAAGTTTACAAGAAAATAAAGCCGACTTATTCAATTTATCATCCTACTGCTTTGATATTCTACAAAGCATATCTGAATTTGTGGCCTATTAGACCTAGAAATACTTGGAAGTTTATATCGTAATTGATTATGCGAAAAATAACTTCTCTAACGTTTCGAATTTTATTTAAGTAGTTTTATAAGCGAAACAATCTATAAAATAGAAATATTCATAACATATACGCATATTTCAAGAATATCGAAATTATTATTTGAAGAAAATATGACTGTAATGCATTTTATACATGTTCAATAGAATTTTTAACATCAACAGGGTCCACCTTATTAGTAACAATTCTTTTTCAAAGTACAGGATATGTCAAAGTCGATAGTATGGGTGTATTGTGAGGATATAAAAAATTTAAATAAAATTTGGGACACTTGGTGTTAAATGGGATGAGGTAAGCTCCATTTTCATTCGAAAGTATTATATCACCAATTATATTTTTTCCAGTTAAAAAGCTATTTTTTCTAATAAACTTTTATTAGAGAAATTTTTCTGTATTACTTCCCATTTAAATAGCAAAAACAAATATCGCCCTAAAGAGTTTCAAAAGAAATACCGATGATGCCGCGCCATTCATTTACTCCAAAATGGCCATGGTTTTGGACTGGATATACAATGTGGGGATTTTCAATGGACCAGTATAGTGTTCATTGCGCCTATTCGACAAAACATTACTGACAAACCGACTTTCGTTGGTCCAAAGAACGTGCCGAAAAAGGTTCTGATCAACAGTTTCTACATTTACTACAATTCGAGCTATAAGATTAAGTCTGTTTTCAATGTGACGCTCAGGGAAATACTCCAAATTGTGAATTTTGTAGGCATGATACCGACTCGTCCTTAAAATTCGTTGTTCGGCTGATTTATCCAAGTTCAATTCCGGGTTAGCCTGCTCTATAGAATTTCGTTGATATTTTTCGAAATACTGTAACAGTCCTGCTGTTTCTTACCTTTCGGTCAATTATTTGATTTTTCTGAACAGAAAATGCAGCTTCATTTCGTCGCAAGGTCGCCTCCAATCTTGTAAAGGTTCTATGATCAGGAATGAGGCGCTCTGGATACCTTTCTCGATATAATTCTACTTGAATTTTTTTTAATCGTCATAAATTAGCAACATATCCACTTTTTCTGAATGAGAAAACACTTTGTAAGCACAAGAATTATATGTTTGACGTTCGTATTGAGTAATGACAAGTATTTTGTGATATTTATGCACGTTAAACAACGAACATTCAATTATTTTCCAAGGACTACTTGATCCTTCCACCGCTAATGTGATTTTTAGGTGGTATTTCTTTGACACTCTTTAGGACGATATTGCTTATAACTTTTAAACGGGAAGTAATACAGAAAAATTTCTCTAATACAAGTTTATTAGAAAAAAGAGAGCTTTTTAACAGGAAAAAAAAATTTGGGTATGTTTCTGGAAAAAACATAATTGATGATGTCATTAGTCGTTTCTGTCAAATCCCAAAGATAATACTTTAGATGGAAAATAGAGCTTATAGACCAGGGTCGATAATTTTTTAAACAAAAAAAAATTATAGTAGGATGAAACCCATTGGAAAAGAAAGAGAATATAACAGAAATGAAAGGAAAAATAATTTACGGGCGATCTGAGGTCGGGAAGGGGTAGGGGGTGAGTTTTTAAGGGTAAAAAACGGTTTCCCTTGATTTCCAGAAAAACTACAAGTCTTATGGAAAAAAGTTAAATGGCAAAGTTGTAGGTAATAAAAAGATCTACAACTTTTGTATTTACACTTTTTTCACATAACCTCAAAATTTATGTGAAAAATTCAAATAACCAAGTTTTTGGTTTTTTATTTTTATCTTTTACAAACAAATTTTTTTTTTCACGAAATTTGGTGAAAACTTACCTATTTATGTCCCAAACACGCTGTAATTTTTTTGATTTGAAATATTTATTTTTTCACCTTATTTTTACTTAATATCGAAAAAGCACCCTAATTTTCAATCGAAAATTCTCACGTCAAAATATCTGCTTTTTTAAAAACGTCGGTGGGCTTTTTCTTCGTTGAAATCTCTACTTTCTGATGGTGTAAAAAAATATATACATTACTATGGTAAGTTTTCTCAGGAAATGCAAAGAAACGAACTAGAATCCGAAAATTTTTTTCTAATCATTATGTACAATTTTGAGCTATTTATTAAAATTTACACTTTAATTACTCGAAAAACGTAAGATTCCATGTTACATTGATAAACAAAAAAATTACAAGTCGAAATATACTATTATAATTAACAACCAAATAAGTTAATAAAGTTAATATTTAATAAGACATCTACAATATTTTGAGAAAGTTGTAGAATCTTCTTTCGTTTCTTTGCATTTCCTGAGAAAACTTACCATAGTAATGTATATTTTTTTTAACCATCAGAAAGTAGAGATTACAACGAAGAAAAAGCCCACCGACGTTTTTAAAAAAGCAGATATTTTGACGTGAGAATTTTCGATTGAAAATTAGGGTGCTTTTTCGATATTAAGTAAAAATAAGGTGAAAAAATAAATATTTCAAATCAAAAAAATTACAGCGTGTTTGGGACATAAATAGGTAAGTTTTCACCAAATTTCGTGAAAAAAAAATTTTTTTGTAAAAGATAAAAATAAAAAACCAAAAACTTGGTTATTTGAATTTTTCACATAAATTTTGAGGTTATGTGAAAAAAGTGTAAATACAAAAGTTGTAGATCTTTTTATTACCTACAACTTTGCCATTTAACTTTTTTCCATAAGACTTGTAGTTTTTCCGGAAATCAAGGTAAACCGTTTTTTACCCTTAAAAACTCACCCCCTTCCCCTTCCCGACCACAGATCGCCCGTAAATTATTTTTCTTTTCATTTCTGTTATATTCTCTTCCTTTTCCAATGGGTTTCATCCTACTATAATTTTTTTTTCACTTTTTACCATTTTTGAAGGCTTAAGCACTGGTCTATTATTTCATCCCATTTAACACCACGCGTCCCAAATTTTATTTAAATTGTTTAAAAGGTTTATATTGTCGATTATTTTACTCAAAAAGTGCTAAAAGTACGATATTACATATTTCTGTATAACCAATTCAAAACTTATTTCGACAATATATAGGAGGTTAGTCAACCGAAAGTTGAACAACTGAATAACTATCTCTTAAAAGTCTGCAAAAATATAATACAGGATATTTTTCTCAAAAAAATCAGTTTAGTTATTAGTACCATATATCTTTTTAAATTGATGTTCAATTGTTTTTTTAATTATCCTATATTCTGATGCCGCAGGACATTTTACATTTTGTCCTATTCAAATATTTTAACGGCAAGGGAGTAAATTGCAATTAAAAGAGAACTATGAAAATTACCACTCCGGTAACTTTGTTATTTTTAACTTTAGGAGGAAATGTTTGTTATAAAACTTATAGAGTTCGTTTAAGGCTTCATGAATTCATTTTTAGAAGAAGAAAAAACAAATGAACGTTACATTGAGAGTATTTAAATAAAACAGTTTTATTTGTTTTTAACTTGAGCCCATATGAACGCCAAGCCATGTGTTTTTCTACCTCGGGTATCCAATGCGGATAATTTCAAGAAAGTGGCGCAGGGGTCTTCTTGAAATTCAATTTTAACAAATACAATCCGTACGATAATTGTTGAGATTGAATTTCAAGAAGACCTCTGCGTAACTTTCTTGGAATTAACCGCGTTCAACACCCGACGTAGAAGGACATTGGCGGCGTGGCGTCCACCGTAGCAGCTTACAGTGCGTACTGCGTTTTGCAGTTATGCGGCGGCTACACGACAGCGACTTGCCTGCACGGTATGATTTGCGCAATAAACACGGAATACTGTGTTGTGGCCACACGATGCAGGTAAAACCCTGCAGGCTGCAGACACTGCAGGCAGCAATCAGTACGTTTCTCAGGAATATGTATCCAAGCGAAGAATTTTTGGTATTATACTGAATTACTAGGATTGGTGATCCCTTCATAAACCGACAAAATACTGTAATGCGCGAATCTATGTACATATGTACAGTGTGTTTCACTTAAAGTCGGGACACCTCCGTATTTAGGAAAAAGGCCTACTTTTTGATATTATATTTTTTGACATGTGATCTTTTCTACGGCCTACTATCATTAAGAAAAGACCCTCAAAAATTAAAAAACATATTAGGCATTTTTTTAAGAAAGAAATGGATAGCATTTTCGATTTGATCACACCTCAAAACTCTAAATACAAAATTTCATTATTATAGCTTTTACAGGGTGTTCACAAAATAGGTGCAAACTTCGAAAAATTCCACGTATTGCAGAG